TCAGGATGCCCTTCTGAATACATCTCACTGTCTTTTAGCTGCCCCTGTCGCCCCCGAGTATAATCTAGCATGCCTTAGGTGTAAGAAGCAAGGTAGTGTCAAAATTCGGATGCCCACTTGGTTAAAGAGGCCCTGTAGGCCCCACGTTTTAGCGGTGCACCCGTCCCATCAACCCCATTTACAAGTCACCAACGGTATCTGCTGGTGTAGCCGTTGCGGGGGATGGACTATTCGGGCCCGTAGTAAATTAAAATCAGTCTGTGAGCCTCCCACAGAAGGGGGGAGGAAAGCAATTCAAAGGTTAGCGCAAGGTCGTTTACCTCCAGGCTTGAGAGCCTGGCCCAAGCTCGAGATGCTGCACTAGGTGCAGCTCACAGGACGCCCGCGCGCGGCGGGACTCTGTCTTTCCAGGGGAGTTCGCTCGGAGGAGGAGGGGGCAGGAGGAGGAGGAGGAGGAGGGGGGGGAGGAGGAGGAGGAGGAGGAGGAGAGGGCAGGAGGAGGAGGAGGAGGAGGGGGGGAGGAGGCAGGAGGAGGAGGCAGGAGGAGGGGGGGAGGAGAGCGGTGCTGTGCGACCGCAGTGCCCTCTTCAAAACGAGAACCCCGCGCATGATGGCTGGAAACCAACTCTTGGCGGTCCGCGCGGATTGCTCGGATCGGCGCCGAACCCCCTCCCTGGTGCGCGGCGCGAGAAGGGCGCCAAGCGCGGCGCCAGAGGCGTCGCCAAGGCGGCTCCACACGGACCCCCGCAGGGTAATCTTCGAATGCTTGCTGGTTCTTCGATCCTCGCGAGGTCGGCGGCGAGCGCGATGGGGGGAAGCGAGTGAGGACAGCCCTTCTCGAGGCGCGGCGGGGCTGCCCAGAAACATGCCCGGCCTTCTGGAAGGCCGATGTTTTGTCTCCGGAGACGGCTTATAAAGCTCCTCGGAAGGCCCAGGGCCTTCCGAGCCTTCTGAGAAAGCCCGCCCCCTCCCTGCATTCCCCCCGGGGCTTGCCGCTGACAAGAGAGATCACTGGACAGACCCGGGTGCAGCAACCCAGCCTCTGCTGTTCCGCTGCGCCCTCCCCTGGGCACTGCAGCCCACATCAACAGTGATGTGCCGCTTCCCCCCCCCCGGTTCTGGATGGTGACGCGCGCGAGGCACAGTGACAACGCAGAACGAACTCTCAAATAGTCGCGAATTCTCGAAAGCAAACATATCCGATCCAACCCCGTAACAATATGTAAAAAGTGCTTACCGTGGCTCAAGACGGCGACGGACGACAATGCTACGGTCCACACTGACTGACCAACTACATCCGACAAGCGAGAGGTCACGGTGCGCAAGTAGTTGACTCTATGGACAAGGGCGGGTCAATACCAGCCACCAACGAAGGGGCGGGAAAGAGGGGTACGCAACTCAATGAAGAGAGGAGCAGTACAGATGTACACCATCACTTTCACTCAGCACGACTGAGATGTGCACACGTCCACGTGTAATATGACCCCGACCTAGCTTCACTCCTGCAAACTTGCCTCCCACGCGAAATTTGTGCTTTCCAGATGACGTCGCAACTTTGCGCTCGTGCCCCTAAACAATGCTGACTCCTCGTCTGATCCAATCGCATCGGAGAGGGTAGACAAATGTTAAGTCGGGCGCGTCCCCCCTACAGGCGGATTTTGGACGACAAATGAAAAATAGTCAAAACATACTCCACAAGTAAAACAAAAACAAAAAATCGTCCCCAGACTACTCTTATACTATTTTTGAATATTCCCCCTGTAGAGGGAGAGGCCCGACTCAAGACAAATGGGTCCGCGTGCTTATTTCCTGCACACACGTGTTTGTCGCGGTCGGCTGTCGGGCTCTCAAGAATGGACTCGCACTGAAACTCCCGGCTTCGTTCGTGCGCGCTCCCTCACAAGCAAGACCAACACGATGTGTCTCCTCTTGCCCCCTCCTCCTCCTCCTCCTCCTCCTCCTCCTCCTCCTCCTCCTCCTCCTCCTCCCCGTCCTCCTCGTTCTCTTCGTCCCTCTCCGCCTCCTCCTCCTCCTCCTTCGCTTCATCGGTTAACCCGGCGACTGCCTGCACCAGCACGCCAGACGCGAAGCGTGTATATTGATCAGAATACCTGGGCCTCGGATTGCGCTGCGCAGACTGTCCGACTGCGGACGCAAGCGTATTCAGGAATACTCATCCATGTGTGTGCGTGTACGTGTGCGAACGTGTGCGCGCCCTTCCTGTTCCTGCGCGTTCTGACCTCCCGTCTCCGCTTGCTGCTCGTACGCACCCGCTGTAACCGCCGCGACGCGATGCGCGACGCGATGCGCGACGCGATGGTGTCCGCACGCACGTGCGTGTCTGTCGCAGTATTCCTGTCATTACTCGCAGTCGACACAAGCGACACCGCGCAACCTCTGCCTGGAACGCTCCGACGCAACGCGATCAAGGCACTCGGCATGCCGGAGACACACCGACTGCCATCCTTCAAGAACTTGTCATTCTCCATGACGTTGAGAGCGTTGAACACGTCGAAGTCATGCTGCTGAGATTCGCGCAGGAGTAACACACAGCTTGCTTTGCGAACACCAACCTCCTGCCACTCATGACTTGCCTCCATCCTCATCATGTTTCCTCGCCTTCCACCTCCTCGCCCTCCTCCTGGTCCTCCCCTTGCTCCTCCTCCTCCTCTCGGAGAGCTCTTGGGCGCCTCTTGGGAGCCTCGTTAGGGCCTCTTGAGGCCTTTGGGGGCTTCTTGGGCGAGATTCGGGGGCCATCCTGACACTAGAGGGCGTGTGCACCGATTCCGCGGGTATTGCTTTATTCTGTATGCTCCGGATCGACCACCAAGCCGCCCGCCGATAGCAGCCGAATTCGGGGGCGTATCCCACTTGATTCGCCACCGTGCCAAGAAACACGAGCTGGAGTGTCCTGAGGTCCCCCATAGATGTCTCCGTCCTCAGTCCTGAATAGCTGAACAGGCCCACGGAATTCCCGGATCTCCTAGGGTTAGGTCGGGCATGCCCCACTACATCCGGATTTTCAGCGAAAAATTGAAAATTTCGAACAATACCTAAGAAAAGGAACAACAACAAAAAAGAAAGCTGAAAGCATCTTCCACAAACTATGTCTGTCTGCTTCTGAATACTTCTCTTGTAGATGGACATGCCCGACTCAATCCTAGGGCGTGCCGAAGCTCTCTTAGGACTCCCCGCGCATTCTCGCATGACTTTTTCAAGAGACACGAGGGCGCGCAAACGGGCCACGAGGCCTTCAAGAGGCCCCCAAGGCGGCCCAAAAGTCGGGGGCGCGCAAAAATGGATGAGCGATCCATGGATTTGGCGCGCGGTCGCCAAATCCACGGATCGGGGGAGGCGCCCTCCCCAACATGCAACAGGAGCCGCCTCGTTCGGCGACGGAAATCAGCGATTTCCCATGGAAACGGGACCTGTCGCTAATCCACGCCCCCTTGATCCATGTCTGCGATCGCCTGGAAAACGGCCCAGAGTCGCCGGAAGACCGCTCCATGACGCCCAAGAAGGCCTCAAGACGGCCGACGCTTTCGAGGCGCCCCAGCACAGCAGGGCTCCAAGAGCATTTCCGAAAAGGCCCTGAGAAGCTAACACAATCGATGTCCCGCAGGCTGCGAAAAGAATATGAGTGGCCTGGCCTGTTCGGGCTGCCAGCGCTCCAAGACGGTCCACGAGGCTTCTGAGATCGTCCCGAGACGGCCCCATGAGCTCCCGAGGACCCCTACGAGGAGCCAACCCAAGAGACCACCACGAACCCCCCAAGACGCCCCGATGGCCCGCCAAGAGTTCTCAAGTAGGCCCCAAAGAAGCCACGAGAGGCATCAAAGGGGCAACATGAAGGCCCATGGGAGGCCTCCCCGAGGCCCCTAAGAGGCCCCCAAGAGGTCCCAAGAGGCTCCTAAGAGTCATCCAAAAGGGAAGCACCCCTTGAGGCCACCGAGAGTGCCTCTGACCCTCAAAAGAGAGATCCACCGAAGCCCGGATGGGATCGATGTGGCCCAATTGGTACCACCTGGGCACCACTCGAATCATATAGCTTATACCCAAGAGAGAAGCATTTTAAGAAGCTTCCGAGGGGCACCCCAATCTTTTGCTCTTCGCCCGCCTGGCCCGCCTCACGCCTCCCGTTCTGCACCCCAACATTGCGCTCCTCGCCCTTCGTCAACGCCTCCCTCCCCCCCCCTCTCCACCGTCGTCGCGCCCGTCCTTGCCCCCCCCCCCTGGTCCCTCGGTCCTTTCCCCCCCTCCCTCCCCCCCCTGGTCCCTCGGTCCCCCGTCCTTGTCCCCCCCTCCCTCCCCCTCCCTCTCCACCGTCGTCGCGCCCGTCCTGTTCCCCCCCTCCCTCCCTCCCCCCCCCTCCCTCCCTCTCCACCGGTTCGCCCGTTCCTTGTTCCCCCTCCCTCCCTCCCCCCCCCCTCCCTCTCCACCGTCGTCGCGCCCGTCCTTGCCCCCCCTCCCTGGTCCCTCGGTCCGCTCTCTGTCTCGGATCGGCCCCTCGGGCGCCTCGCTCGCTCGAGGCTTCCGCGGAGCGAGCGCGCAGATCCTGGCCTACGCACGCACTACCCCCCCCCCCCGTTCAGCCTCCCACCACCAATGGCCGTTCCTCTCTCCGCCCTCGTTCCGCCTCCCACCCATCCCCCCCCCCTCATTCAGCCTCCCACCACCCTCCCCCCGTCCTTGTTCCCCCCCCCTCCGGCCTCCATCCAACCTCCCGCCACCAATGACCGTTCCACTCTCCGCCCCACCCCACCTCCGACAGGGACCGAGCGACGATGCGATCGGGGGCCTGGCCAAGCCCAGCGTCGGTGAGCGATGCTGGCCCAGACCTCCTGCGTCGTGCCTTCCCAGAACCCTCTCCCTCCCCCTCATCACCACCATCGTCCTCCCCCTTCTCCTCCTCCACCTCCTCCTCCTCCTCCTCCTCTTGCCAACGCTCGGACGTTCATTCCCCCTGCATGTTTCGGCTTCGTGTTGGTTTGTCTTCGCAA